GCGAGGCAGTGCAGCAGCCCCTCCGCCGCGGACGTCAGGCCGAGGGGCGAGCGCGCCACGAGGACGACCGACCGCTCCTGCGGGGGAAACGTCCGAGAAAGGTCCCGAGAAAAGGTCGAGAGAGGAGGGCGCCGAGCTGCAGCCGAGGTCAGAGCGCAGCGAACTACTCCGCGGTGGCTCCTGCAGCGCCGCCTCGCACAGCAGCACGCTCAGCTCGGCGCCGCACAGCGCGAGCATCGCCGCGGCGCTCCAGTCGCCCCACCCTTCCATGCCCACCACGCCGCCCGCCACCCGCGCGCCGCCGCCGCCGCCGCCGCCGCCGCCGGAAGCGAGCGTGCCGCTGGCTGCGCTCGGCTGCGGCCAGAGCGAGGCGGCCGGGGCGGCGCTCTCCTCGAGCAGCGAGAGCACGTCGAGCTGGCGGGCGGCACAGCGCGCCTACAAGGGCGGGGCGAGGCGCGTGCTATCAACGGCTAACGCAAGACAACGCGCAACGGCCCGGGGTAGGGCGCCTCCAGCCACCGGTGGAGCGAGACGGCAGGAGCGCAGCCGACGCCGCCGTCGCTTCTCTGCCGACGGAGCGTGCGGCGCACGCGCGTCTCCGCAGACACGATGGCGCTCGCTGAGACATCGCCGCCGCCGCCGCCGCCGCCGCCGCCGCCGCCGCCGCCGCCACTGTCACCACCGCCATCGTTGCTGCCGCCGCCGGTGGCATCGCCACGTCCGTCCGGGAAGACGCGCGTGACGTGCTGCTGCCTGCGCGCCCGCCGCCTCTCCCTCCAGTCGTCGGGGCGAGGCGGCCGCTCGCCTTCGCCTCCCGCCCGGCCGATGCCGGTGGCGGCGGCGAGGCGTCCGCCTCCACCCTCGCGCAGACTCGGGTGTGAGCGCTGCCGCTGTGGGAGAGGGAGCGAGGCGCGCGCCGCGGCGTCGGAGCGGTAGAGCTTGGAGAGCGCGCGCAGGCACCGCTGCGCGTCGAGGATGCACGGCGCGGTGGAGAGCAGCGCGAGGCTCTGCGGGCCTTCGCCCGACGGCGGCCCGTTTCCGGCCGGAGGGGTGACCACCGAGAGGAAGAGGCGCGTGCCGCTGGCGGAGAGCACGTTGCAGGTGAAGCTTCCAAGAGCGCCGCCCGCGCTCTCGTCGGCGGTGCAGAAGGCGGTCACCTTGGGCGGGAGCGGGAGGGCGCCGGGAGCATCCTCGGGAGGGAAGCGGTACAGCACGACGCGCCGGCCGCCCGACGTGCCGCACACGAAGAGGACCCGCTGGCTGGCTGGCCGCGTTTCGAGCATGAATCAAACGCGTTTGGGGTGGCTGTTACCAAAATGATACGACGAAAGGCGCTTTTTCAGTGTACGTACTTTTAGCTTACTCAGTGTACGTACGTACTTATAGCTTACTGGGAGAAAAGAGAGAGGGGGTTGTGTTCTCTAGGCCCCTAAGGGCCCTACGCGCGGCGTGAGAGCTCGGAAGCGAGCTTTGCACGGCGATCGAGGATGGCACGGTTCACCCCCTTCACCGAAGCGATGGAGATGCGTTCCGCGTGGTGTGACACAAATGAGAGGCGGGAGTGGGGAGGGTACGCGGTGCGGTCAACGCCCGAGCGTTGAGCCTTGCGCGCAAGGCGGTTGATCTTTGCAACTGCTGGCGGCGAGAAGCCGCCGCCGAATGTCTCGTGGAGAAGCAGGTTGAACTTGTTGCGTTTGGTGAAGATCCCATCATGGTAGTGGCCACGCTGTGACTTGACGTAGCCTTGGCCGGTGGTGTGGTCGAACGCCCGTTGACCACGGAACCCGCGTTGCTTGCAGCCCATGTTTGCAAGGCGGGCGCGCTCTTCGGTGCCGTACTGTGCCCAAGTGTGCCGCGGGGGGGAGACCGTCACTCTCGGACGCTACGCCACGGCAGAGGAGGCGGCGCGAATCTATGCGAGCACGCCAGAGGGCAAAGCTGAGCTGGCGGCCAGGTCAGCACCGCAGGCCAGCAACACACCACGCAAGCGGCCTTCCGGCGCATCGAACTGGCAAAAGCGGCAGAAAGCCACCGGCGCCAACCCCTCCACCTCCTCCGCCGCCTCCTCCGCCGCCTCGGCCGAGTTCGAGGTGGACCGCATCCTGTCCGAGCGGCGCCGGCCGAGCGGCGGCGTCGAGTACCTCGTCGCATGGACGGCTGCGCGCTTCGCGCCCTCCTGGGAGCCCGCGCCCAACTTGGTGGACGAGGACGGCGCGGTGTGCTCGGCGCTGCTGGCGTGGCGTGCGTCGCGCGCCGCGCCGCAGCAAGGCGGCCCGGCGACCGAGCCTCTTCCGTCCCTCGGCATGCCGGCGGGAGAGCCCCTCCCGCCCCTCGGCATGCCGGCGGTGCTGCAGGCTCTCGAGGGCGTCGGGCTGGGCCGGTACGCGGCGGCGTTCGAAGAGCAGGGCTATGACGACCTGCGCTACTTGCGGACGATGGACGCGGCGGAGCGCGCGACGGTGGCGGAGAGCGTGGGAATGAAGCAAGGGCACGCCGGCAAGTTTGTGAAGTTCGCGCTTGAGCCGGCGTAGGCCGTCGTACTCGGGCGCCAGTCGAGAGCGGGCCGCGTGCACACTCAAGGTTACTTGTGGGTTTCATTTTCTCTATGACACGCTGCCTGTTTTGAACTGTCAACAAGAGCAGCAAGAGCGGCCGCACATTGCTCGGTACCCCCCCTGCACATCTAAAGCCATCTCTGCTGCTAGGGGGGGGGGAGGGGGGTCTGACCCCCCCAGCAGCAGAGCGCTGCTGCTGGGGGGGGGGGGGGGGGTCCTGACCCCCCCAACAGGAAAACCCTGCTGCTGGGGGGGGGGGGGGGCCCCACCCAAGGGTGGGGAATAAGGCTAAAGGGGCCCCCTACACTTAACCCCCGCAGGGAGGGAGGGCTCAAATTAACCCCCCCACGGAGCCCGGGTCAAAATTAAAACCTGGAAAGCCGGGGGCCCTGAACTTTAACCACACCAGGCCCACTCCCGGGAAAAACCCGGGATACCCGCAAAAATCCCGGGTAGGGGTACACCCACACCAACCCCGGGTGTGGAACCCCCATAAAGGGGAAGGGGGGGAACCCCGGGTATTTTATAGTCCCGTCGGGTTTGGCCCCCTTGATTTAAGGGGTCAGGTTGTCCCGCCCCAATCTTGGGTAGTAGGGGCTAGAGGGTCGCTCTACACTTAGCCTCTGCAGCGAGCGAGCGCTCAACTTAGCCCCCGCACGGAGCCGGGCTCAGACTTAGACGCTGGAAGGCCGGGGGCCATGAACTTAGACGACACGAGGCCAACTCCGGGTAAAACCCGGGTATACCTGCAAAAGTCCAGGTTAGGGCTACACGCACACGAGCCGCGGTCGTGTAGCCGTCATAGCGGCGAGGCGTGGGACCGTCTGTGGCGAAGTGGGTCGCGTCCCTCGATTTCCGTCAACTCACCCTCCACACCCTCTACCCGGAAATGTTTGACGACTCGAACCCGTGAAGCTTCCCCGTGCGCGGGTTACCCCGCACACGGGTCAGCCTGCCAGCCACGTATCCACGCAAGCGTGGTCCGCGTGCATGGCATACAGGCGTTCGCCAGACAGCGCAGAGGCTAGGCGACCGGGGAAGGACTAGCTCAAGGGGAACAACACAGCGTCACCAGCCGTTGGCGCGCAGATCGAGTCTGCGGCCCCCGGTTGGGGCGAGTGCGCGACGCGGACGAACCGCTCAATGTGGCCGGCAGCTCTTTCTGCCGGCGGGGTTGGTTGGGGAGGACCGGCACGGGGAAGGCCGACCTCCCAGGAGGGGTCGCCCCCTGGAGGGGCCCCGAAGTAAAACTCTTTTAAAGTTTTTAGAGTGCGGTGTGTGTGTAAAACCGTATATATGAATAAATAAATAAAAACGGACACCTCTCTACTGTGAGATGGGTAAAAAGGAACAGGCCCCCGCCCTTGCGATCTTTGTGCAGGGTTCTTTGTCGTATATATGCATGTGCATGCATTTCGATAAAAAAAATGGACCCAACGCCCCGACTCGTGGTGACGAACCGGCGTGCATTCGCCACGCACGCGCTATCCGCCGTTCTGTGCGCATGCCTCAGGCGCCGGCGGCCCGTTGCGCGAATAGCCCGCCCGTCGGCGCGCAACCTTCTCCTGCAGCTCTGGGTGGAGGACGGGCGCAACGGGCCTGTCCGCCGCTGCGCCGCCGCCGCCGCATCTCCGCTCAAAAATAGTGCGGCGCAAGTCCGGCACCGCCGCTTCCTCGCCGGCGGGAGAGGGTTCGGCGCCGTTCGTCGTCGCCTCGGCCGAGCCGTCGGCCGACCGGATCATGGTGACGCACCAGCGCGACCAGCGCGCCGCCATGCGCTGCTCGCACGCGCCGACCACCTAAGGCACCGGCACGGGCGGCTGGGAAGGGCGTGTGGCCTCTGCCTGCCTCGGCGGCCTCCTCGTCCCCGCGGAGGCACCTCGAGCGTCGGGTGAGGCGGGAGGAGGGCAAGGGACTCGGCGAGGGGGAGGGTGCACGGCAGCAGGAAGACCAGCCGCCCGCCCGGGACGAGAGAGGCCGTGGCGAGGGAGAAGAGGTCGGCGAGGGTCGCCTGAAAGAGACAGGTACGCGCGTATAAAAAGACGTGTTCCTCTGTTTTGAAGCGGTCGGCGAGGGTCGCCTGAAAAGAGACAGTACGCGCGTGAAAACAGAAATATGATGGGCTTCCGTCTTGAAGAGGTTGGCGAAGATCGCCTCGAGCGGCGCGGCCGCCGTGCGGGGGACGTGCGAGGCGAGCTGCGCCTGTGGACGTGTCCCGGACGTGTCGTGGACGTGTCGTGGACGTGTCGTGGACATGCCTCGAGGGACGTGCGAGGCGAGCTGCGCCTCCTCGAGAGTTCGCTGTCTAGGAAGTGTCTAGGAAGTGTCTAGGAAGTGTCTAGGAGGTGTCTAGGAGGTGTCTAGGAGGTGTCTAGGAAGTGTCGCCTCCTCGAGGGTTCGCTCGGAGAGCGGAGCGTCGTCGAGCGTCGCCGATCGCTCGCGGATGCCGTAGGGCGGGTCGGTGATGATGGCGTCAAGGAAGGGACGCGGCCGCCTGCGGACGTGTCCCGGACACGTCAGCGACGTGCCATGGACTGTCATGGACGTGTCAAAGAGGGGACGCGACCGCCCTCCGCACCCGACGGGCGGCGTCTAGGAGGTGTCTAGGAAGTGTCTAGGAGGCGTCTAGGAGGTGTCTAGGAGGTGTCTAGGAGGTGTCTGGGAGGTGTCTAGGAGGTGTCTTGGAGGTGTCTAGGAGGTGTCTAGGAGGTGTCTAGGAGGTGTCTAGGAAGTGTCTAGGAGGTGTCTAGGAGGTGTCTAGGAAGTGCACCCGACGGGCGGCGCGCGGGACGTGCGCAGCGGGCAGCCGGCGCGCCCCGAGTCGGCATGGACGAGACCGAGAAGGGGGGGCAGCCCGTACTGCTCGAAGGTGAGGCCGATCGACTGCCTCTTCGGCTGAGTCGCCTTGGAAGGGCCAGATCGGGACCGCACCGCGCCGCGAAGCACCGGGGCGTACAGGTCGGAGCCGAGCACGCGTGCGCCAAAGGCGGCGGCGCCGACGAGGCAACTCGCGGTGCCTACGGACATGTCCCGGACGTGTCATGGACGGGTCATGGACATGTCAGCAGCAGCGAGTAGTCCATCAGCCTACGGACATGTACATGTCCCGGACGTGTCATGGACGGGTCATGGACATGTCAGCAGCAGCGAGTAGTCCATCAGCCTACGGACATGTCCCGGACGTGTCATGGATGTGTCATGGACGTGTCAAAGGTCGAGGCGGCTCGCGGCTCCGCAGAACGGGTCGAAGACGAGCTGCGAGGGCCCGCACCTCGCCAGGTTGGCCATCACGAGCGAGAGCTCCTAATTAATGAGTTAATTCGCTGGTTGATTCGGTCATTAAATCCAGGTTGGCCATCACGAGCGAGAGCTCCTAATTAATGAGTTAATTCGCTGGTGAATTCGTTCATTAAATCCAGGTTGGCCATCACGAGCGAGAGCTCCTAATTAATGAGTTAATTCGCTGGTTGATTCGGTCATTAAATCCAGGTTGGCCATCACGAGCGAGAGCTCCTAATTAATGAGTTAATTCGCTGGTTAATTCGTTCATTAAATCCAGGTTGGCCATCACGAGCGAGAGCTCCTAATTAATGAGTTAATTCGCTGGTTGATTCGGTCATGAAATCCAGGTTGGCCATCACGAGCGAGAGCTCCTAATTAATGAGTTAATTCGCTGGTTAATTCGGTCATTAAATCCAGGTTGGCCATCACGAGCGAGAGCTCCTAATTAATGAGTTAATTCGCTGGTTGATTCGGTCATTAAATCCAGGTTGGCCATCACGAGCGAGAGCTCCTAATTAATGAGTTAATTCGCTGGTTGATTCGGTCATTAAATCCAGGTTGGCCATCACGAGCGAGAGCTCCTAATTAATGAGTTAATTCGCTGGTTGATTCGGTCATTAAATCCAGGTTGGCCATCACGAGCGAGAGCTCCTAATTAATGAGTTAATTCGCTCGTCAATTCGTTCATTAAATCCAGGTTGGCCATCACGAGCGAGAGCTCCTAATTAATGAGTTAATTCGCTGGTTGATTCGTTCATTAAATCCAGGTTGGCCATCACGAGCGAGAGCTCCTAATTAATGAGTTAATTCGCTGGTTGATTCGTTCATTAAATCCAGGTTGGCCATCACGAGCGAGAGCTCCTAATTAATGAGTTAATTCGCTGGTTAATTCGTTCATTAAATCCAGGTTGGCCATCACGAGCGAGAGCTCCTAATTAATGAGTTAATTCGCTCGTCAATTCGTTCATTAAATCCAGGTTGGCCATCACGAGCGAGAGCTCCTAATTAATGAGTTAATTAGCTGGTTGATTCGTTCATTAAATCCAGGTTGGCCATCACGAGCGAGAGCTCCTAATTAATGAGTTAATTCGCTGGTTAATTCGGTCATTAAATCCAGGTTGGCCATCACGAGCGAGAGCTCCGCGTCGAGGGAGGTGGTGCCAATGTAGTTCCGCCGCTTGAGGTCGAGTCGACCGACCAGCTCCCGCTGCCCAACGCCAACCTTTGGGGGGGGAGGACGGGGGGGCGGGGGGCTTGGCATCGGCTCGTCGGCTGCCGCGGCTCACACCCGTCCGGAGCCAGCCCCATCTTCCCAAGTGTGGCTGCCAAGGTAGCAGTGCGGGGCGTGCGCAAGCCTCGAGCCCAAAGTAGAAGCGGAAGGCAGCCGCGGCGGGCCCGCCGCCGCCGCCGCCGCCACCGCCGCCGCCGCCGCCGCCACCACCACCACCGCCGCCGCCGCCGTCACCGCCGCCCTCACCGCCGCCCTCACCGCCGCGGTCACCGCCGCGGCCACCGCCGCCGCCGCCCGCGCCCGCCGCCGCGTCGCCGGCAGTCCCACCAGCAGCAGGACCGACAAAGTCCACGAGCAGGACGAGCGTGTAGTCGGGCGACTTGAGCCGCACTTTGCCGCGAGGAGAGAGCAGCTTGGCGAGGCGCGTGATCAGCTCGAGGCGGTCCGGCTCGCTCGCGCTCCCGCCGTACCCGTCCACCACCACCTTGAAGCTCGACCCCTCGCGCAGGTACGGCGCGTACACCTCGGCCGGGCACGCGCGGAGCCGCCCCTCCAGCTCGGCAATCGAGGCGCCGCTCGCCCACACCTCGACGAAGCGCTTGACGAGCACCGCGCGCGCCGCGACTCGCGCTAGGCCGGCGGAGCCGCTGGAGCAGCTCACGGGGAGGTAGACGCCGCCCGCGCCGGCAGAGAGCTCGTCGATGTCGGCGTCGGTCGCAGAGACGTCAACGCCAACCGCCTCGGCCGCCGCGAGCAGCTCTGGCACGCGAAAGTCGAGCCACTCGTGCACAAAGTGGCAGAGGTGGCTGACGCTGGATGCCACGGTCGTAGCCACGGTCGTTGCCGACGTGGGCGGCTCCAAGGCCCGAGTGTCTATAGACGGCAGCATGGCAGACTGAGCGATAGCCCCGCGAGGTACGAGCGGGGCGGTAGCCTTTCTTCACGTAAACGCACAACCCCGGGCCCCGAAATCGCATAGCCTTTCTTCACATACCGAGCTCAACGGTCACGAGAGAAGAGAGAGAGAGAGAGAGAGAAACACGCGCGCACCGCCGAGCCTGCGGCGGGCGCGCTGCGGCCGCACGTCTACTTCGTCATAGTGCCACGACGTGCGGCCTAGATTTAGCACACGCGCCTCTGCTTGCATACACTCATACATTGGATTGTCATCACCTGTGAGTGCGAGACAGGGCTAGCCGTAGGCAGCTAGCCTCTGAGGAGGGCGTCCATAGACACCTCACTTAGACCCCACACACGGTCTCGTCCGTGCCTCGCCGGCCGGAGAGATTGCTGGAGGTAGAGCAAGCCTGCTCTAGCCTCGCATATCACTTCCTGTCGTCTGTTGTGTCGTTGTGCCGTTGTTTGTTTCTCTTGGCACCGTGGAGTGCTGGGGGGGGCGACAGGGAGGATATGGCCTTGAGTTATGTGTACGCCAACTCAGGGTGTGTGGCAGCCCGCTGGCTGTGTGTCTTGTGAGCCTGTTTGTGTCTGTGTGTCGCTCGTGCGTGCCGTCATCATCTGTCTAGCGTCCACCCATACCGCGTTGGTGTCCAGTCCGAGCCTGGCTGTTCTTCACCTTTCTACCTACCTACCTACCTAGAGAGAGAGAAGAGGAGGTGCCCAGCACCCCCGCGCATGAACACACATGGCGCCACCGTGAAACGAGGCGGAGGACGCACGTTTCGTAAAGTACGATCCAGACTGGGCACGCGCCAGACGAGCCAGCCTAACGCTGGTGGCTCGCGGCGCGCTGGTACCAACAAAAGCGGAAAAGGTCACCCCACGGGAGCCTAAGCGACTCCAGAAGAATTTTACAACAAAACTCCCTCGCACGACACTGGGCACAGGACTGGGCACGGGACTGGCTCGCACTGGCACTAACACAGGTACACCACGGGAGCCGCCTAAGCGACTCCTGCGAGGGTGGCGAGGCACTTAGCTCCGTGCACCCGCCCACCCCCGCCACAGGCAAGCTCATTCACAATCTGCTCTGCGATTGCCGTGTGAAGAACGACTGAGATGCGCTGCTTCTGCAGCCCCAGCCAGCTCTTGGTGGTCCAAGTCACCTCATCGAGGTACTGGGCCCGCGTCAGCTTGTTCTGTAGTACGTCCGCCGCCTTCCTGAGGATCTCACGGACCCCCTTTCCGAACCCGCCGAACTCCAGAAGAAAATACCTCTTGGGGTCTAGGTCTCGGACTACGTGCTTTCCTCGATCCCCCGCCCTCCCCCGCCATCTCCGCCGCTTTGGCTCTACAGCCTTTACCACCGGGAGGCGGCGAGGCGAAATCAGACTCGGTCGAGAGACCCCAGATTGGCATCCATGCCTTCTGGACAGGGTGGCCCGCCACAACGACCCCTGGAATTGCGACTCGCCGCTTTCCTCCCGCTGTGATCCTGTGTGAGCTCTGTGTCTTGTTTGCCAACAACATACCTAAAACCAAAACACAGTCCGACCCTGTCCTTAGCTAGCGTGTGTTTCGTTACCTAAGATCTACGCTGGAAACCACACCGTCAAGTGGACCCGTGGGATTCGGTCAGGCTGCGGGAGGCAGGGGCGAGGCCAGGAGGGGCTGCCGGAGTGCACGACCCAGCCTGCGATACATTCCTCGCACCCACGGCCAGCCGGGAGGGCTGCTCCCCGGGAGTACGCCAGCCCGGGAGGGTCGCAAAGCCGGGAGGGCGCAGGGGCGTCGCCTCGAGCGGCGTCCAGGCGCCAACTCGGCTGCCCCCGTTAGCTGCCCACGGTAACCCCGACGCTGCCCGTTGCGAGGAGTCAGCTAGTAGCCCGTTCACACCGGCACCGGCACCGCAAGGGTCGCTGCCACTGGAGAGGGAGTCTCTCCAGGTATGGTCATAGGGGAACGGGTTGGGCGATACACGCAGCAGAAGGGCCAACCCCGGTCGGGCCTCTGCCAGGCGGTCAGGGGCGGGAGGGGCAGGCATCAGTGCCTGTCCAACCCAGTCCATGGCAACGCAGGGCAAGCCCCTCCACCTGTGTCGCGCCGTCACACCGGCGTTGGCAGGCGTGGGGCTCTGGCACAATGTTCATCGGCCGCACGGCAGCGGGTCCCTAGTGTGCAAACTCCAGTCTACAAGGCCAACGTCCTCGTCGCCAACAATGCCATGTCCGCGTCGCGCTCGCGCCACTTCCTCCGCCGGTACCACACGCTCCAGCGCCGCATGGCCGAGGGCGAGTGCCGCGTCGTCAAGATCGCAGACGACCTCATGCCCGCCGACTTCCTCACCAAGTGGGTCGCGCGCGATAAGCTGAAGCGCAGCGTCGACTTCGCCACCAATGCGCGCGCGCGCAATGGGGGGGATTGACTCTCACAATGCCGGCTCTGCGGCGCCCGCCGCCATTGGGGGGGATGCGATCACCCCCCATGGGTGCCCTCTTTCTAGTCATTCTAGTGAATGAATTGACTCGTCCCAGTGGATGTGTCCGATTTCCGACGTCCCTGTCAAAATGTGCGTGACGTCCGATCCTTTGTAATCGTCTAGAGACGCTGGATACATGAGCACGGAGCCGGCCGCTCCCGGCCCCACGCTGCGCCCACGGCCCGCGCGGCCGGCGCAGCCGCCCGGGGGCTCAGGCGCTACCGCTCCGCTTGCGCACTTCCACATGGTCCCTCGCGGGTCCCTGCTGCTCCTAATCTCTTCGAGACTTCGTACCCCATCCTCCTGCTGATCTAAAGTGCTCCAAGTTAAGTTTATCATAATACATAACATCCACCTCAAAAAACAAGAGAGAAACGACAGACGTGCGTGAGAGGAGATCGCCCGACGGCTCGCCGAGATGGGCCATACACGCATACCGAGGCAAGCCAGCACACACGGCTAAAGAAATCATGGCGGGCCGCCTAGGCCCTTGGATCGGAGGTAGAGTCGGTGGAGCCTTGCTTCTCCGCCGCCCCTTCTCTCGCCGCCCCAGCCTCCGCCCCAGCTGGTCCCGTTGCCGCCGCCGGCTCCGCCGCCACTGCCTCAGCCGCCGCCGCCGGCTCCGCCGCCGCCAACTCTGGCGCCTCAGATCCGCTGGCGAACCGCAGCGGCGCTCCCTCTGCGCCGCCCGCCGCGGCGACGAAGCCGCACCTGTGAGCAGAGGGGGAGAAGAAGAAAAATCAGCGCGGCTGTGAGCAGAGAGGGGCTGACGCGGTGAGGCGTGGAACGGGGGGGGGGGGGGGGGAAGAAGATATCGGCTGCATCTCGGCGGCGTCTCGCAAGTTTCTCGGAGGGAGCTCGGCACCCCTCGTAAAAAGCAGCTCCCTCCGCCTGGTAGGCGGGGTGCAACCTCCCGTCGGCCACGCCCGCGGCACGCGCGCGCTGCGCAATGTCAGCGAGCAACACTGCCTCCCCCGCCTCTCCAAACTCGAGGTACTGCGGGTTGACAACAACCTAATTTGGGGTAATCTCGGGTAATCTCGGGTAAGCTGGAGGTATTGCAAGAGACGCCGTGACCCGTGAGCTGCGGGAAGCTCGTTCCTCTTTGGGCGCCCTCCTCCTCTCCTTTTTTCTCCCTTTTTCTCCCCTTTTTTCCTTTTTTTTCCCCCCCCTTTTCCCCGGCCCCCCTTCCCTTTTCCCCCCCCCCCCCCGCCCCTCTCCCCCCCTCTCCCTCTTCACAGCGGCGCGCTGTGACCAGGCGCACTCCGACTTTGCGGCGCACGTGGGCAGCGTCCACTGCAGTGCCTCTCGGAGCCGGAGGACGGACGAGGGCGAACGAGGGCGAGGAGGTGGAGGCGGCGAGAGAGCCGAGATGGAGCCGAGGGATAGCCGAGATTCGTCCGAGCTGCAGCCGAGCTGTCGCCGGCACCGCGTCGATCGAGACGTGGTCCTCCCACTGCGAGACGAAGGCGATTGCGGAGCCGCGGCCGGCGGAGATTGCGGCTGCGCGGGCGGAGAGGGAGGGAGGGTGCGTGCGCACAGCCCCCAGCACGGTGCGCAATGCCGAAGGCCAGGTGAGGGTGTCCGCGAGGGGAGCCCCACGGCGGCTCGCCTCGGAGGGATGTGCGCGAGAGCGTCTCAGCCTGCGACTTGTGCGGCTCCTCCAGCGTCTCAAACGAAAGCGAGCCCTTCTCACACAGCCCGAGGATCATCGCCGTCGACTTGACGCGCGGTAGCGTCTCGGCCAGCTGCTTCAGCTTGAGCGCTCGCTCGCCGATCGCCTCGTCCTGCGGCCCGCGAAAGCCAGCAGCGCGCAGGTCGCGGGACGCCTTCTCCCAGGCCGCCAGCAGACCGATGGACTGCGCTGGCTGCAGCTGCCGGAGCATGTATTCGGTTGCCGGGAGCACGGCGGCGGCGGGGGGGCAGCAGCGAGCGACCCGCGCCGTCCCGCTGGTGTGCAGCAGCGCCGCGGCGAAGGTGAAGGCAGCGAGCATTAACCCTGGATCGGTTGGTGTGGACCAGTGTGGACAGCTTCACAGCTCCACTTCCTGCAGAAACAAACCTGTACAACTTGCATGCCTGGGACAGATGGGTGCCCTGAGCACCTGAGCGGAGTATCAGACCAGTGTTATAAGGTATTCGTGGAGCTGTTCACACTTGTTCGCGCTGTGAAAAGAGCTTGTCGCGGCGCCGTGTGTTGCTGCTGGCGGGCCCGCTCGCTACGAGCCCTCCTCGGCGCTGCTGGCAAGCGTTGAGCTGTCACGATCGATACCTCTGCGCCTCCTCTGTAGCCCGCGCCTCGCTGGACACGCGTAGGGCGGCAGCGGGCGATCCGCTCGCATCGCAGGTGCGTGCCGCCTGCCTCACATCACTCACCCGCTCGCCCGCCTCAACAGCAGTCCTCCCCTCCATTCTAATACGGGCAGCGCCGACCCGTTTGCTCCATTGGTCTTGCAGGAGGGTCGGCACCGGGTCTGGGCTGAGTCGGCGGGCCAGCTCTCCTCGCCAAAGTGTCGCTCGACTGCTGGTGAGCGGTAGTGCAAGAGGAGACTCCGTCTACAGACAATCATACCATCTGTACCTGTGCAAGTGATTTTAGCTTAGCTCTCTTGTTTCGCTACAATTGTTTAGCTCCTCCTCTTTAACCTAGTGCTCCCTCCTCCCCCCACTGCGCCGCTTCCGCGGCTCACCCGCAGGTGTGCCAGGCCCTCCATCACCCTTGCCGCCGCGCCGCTTCTTCCCGCCACGCGTTCCCCGGCGCCGATGCGGCGAAGCCGCGCCTGTCGGCTCGTCTGGTGCGCCCTCCCCCGCTCCCCCATCCCTCAAGCCCCGACCCCGGCGGCGCTTCTGCGGCCCGTGGGCACCCGCGGGTGTGCCCGGCCCGCCCTCTCCCTTCCCCCCACGACGCTTCGCTCCCCGCGCCCGGCGGCGCTTCCCGGGTGTGCCAGGCCCACCCTCCCCCTCGTGCTCGATCCTCTTCCGCCCTTTGTAGTGCCGACACATTGCGAGGGGGTGGTCGCCGCCGCAGCCGCTGCACTTGAGTGCGGTTCCCGCCCGCGTGGAGGGCCGCCGTTGCTCCGCGGGCGGTGCAACCTCGCACCCCGCATTGTCGAACAGCACTCGTTGTGGAGACGGACGAGGTGGAGAGTCAGCCTCTTCCTCTCCGGAGCCGCGGAAGGCCGGCAACGAGGCGGCGTTCCTCTCGGCCCAGCCGAACTGTTGTCGCCGCTCGTCGCCATCGGGGGGCGGAGGTGCGGCCTCGGCGGCGTCCTCACACGCGCTTGCTGGTTGCGACCGCAGAGCACGCATGACCGTCGAGAGTGGATCTCCTCGCGCGAACTTTCTGAGCTCGCGAAGACGGAAGTTGCCTTGTGATCTCCCCCAAAAAAAGTATTCGGCGCGTTACTTGGGCTTACTACACCCTACCTTCCGACACAGCGCCGTGCACGCAACCGACAGCACACGTCACTCTGCTGCTGGATGGCAACCACCAACACCACACCACACCTCTGCCCGTGTGCCCGTTCTGCCATGGCACCGGCGGGATCATGTGCTGAGCGGTGGCGGGGATCCACGTGCGATACACGTGCTGGGCGGTGGCGGGGGCGGCTGTGGTGAGGGTGGTGGTGGCGATGGCGGGGGCGGGCTCGGTGGCGGTGGGCTGCGAGGCGGCGGCGCGACGGCGGGGGCGGGCGGGTGGCGGAGGCAAGGGAGAGGGTGGGCGGTGGCCGTGAGGGCGGAGGCGACGCGGGCGGCGGTGGGGACGGACGCACGGGAGACGGCGGCGACGGCGGCGACGACGGAAGCGTGGGGACGGGCAGGCCCGATGGCGGGGGCGTGCCCCGATGGCGGGGGCGTGCCTGATGGGAGGGCGGCCGGCCGACTGACAAGCGCTGCGCTGGGAGGCGGTGGTGAGCCGCTAGACTGCGTCCCCCCCCCCGCACGCCGCTGTGCGAGCACAGGTGTGCAGGACGCGACGGCGGCGCGCACTGCTCCTCGCCGTTTTCCCGCTCACTCGCCGCGACCAGGAGGGAGGAACTTGGTTATACCTATAGCATATAGTCGGATGCGGTGCTCGTCAAAGGCGCAAGGCAGAAGCCATGCGGGCGCGCAAGCCGTGGAGGGAGCTCGCAGTGCTCGGGCTGGCGCGCCCACGCGTTGTGCTCGGGCGCAGCTGACCCGACCGCAATCGGCGGGTCGCGACAATGCGCGGGGCAGCCTGCGCGTCCCGACAGCGCCGACAAGCGAGGCGCAGGCTGCGGAGGGCAACCTGAGGAACGCGCGACGAGCGAGTCGCGCGCGCGGCGAGCCGGCGAGGTAGCCGCACAGCCTTCGAGACGACGCGGATGAGCCAGCCCGTCTCGGAGGAAGAGTGCCGCCGACCCAAGTGGGCGCCCGCTGGACCTGCGACACAAGGCCGCGGCGACAGCCGCGCCGGAGGCGCAGTGCGACAGGATCGGTCCAGCGCCTCGCCGGGGAGCCGCAGGCACCCTCTCTCCACGGACGGGGCCACGGAAGCCGCTCAATCGGGCGCAGGACGCCTCGGTGTGGGCGGCACGGGCGGGACGCCGCGTCAATCGTTTCGAGGTTAAAGGGGCCCAAACCCGGAAAGTGGGTCAAAAATGGGGAGGGTACCCATTCGGTGTTGGTAGCGAACCGACGCTGCTTGACCTGCCAGCGTCGGTTCGCTCTCGTCACGGTCGGGCGTGCGAGGCTCCTGTGCCTCCGGTGAAGCCGATGCTCAGCCCTCTCCCACCGTCGCGGTTCGCCCGTCACCTCGCCTCTCCGCAGGGTTCATCTCTCGCGCCGGCTGCATCTCTCCGCCGGTCGCCAGCACCCGCGCCACCGACTAGCTGCACCGCCACTCGCGACGCGCCACCCTCGCTCACAGCCTGCATACGCTACTCCCGCCGTGCCTTTGCTACCACATGGATCGCATGTCACTGCAAACGCGCCCGCAGCCGCGCCGTAAAGGTCTGCCGTGCTGGCTGACGATCTCACTCTCCCGCTCCTATTGCATCTGCCTCCCGCCTCCCAGCTCACATTTCACACCGCAGTAGGTCGCGACGGGGTGGATCTGGTGCCTCTCGTATCACTGGTGGGCTCGGTGTGCAGCAGCCGCGCTCAAAAAGAGGAAAAAAACAGGCCCGCCTTTTTGTTTCATAACATCGAAGGCTAAGCTCAAAAAAACTAAAAAAAATGACTGTCTACTTTCTCGACACACCGTTCTCGCCCTCGCTGAAAAGCTGGCTGGTGGTCGCGCGCAGCGCGTCGGCGCCACTCCGACTGGTCGGGCACCTCGGCCGGGTCCATCAGCACGAGGCCCGCCCCGTCGGGGAGCCCCGCGAGCGCATGGGCGGCCGGCCGCGAGCGGAGATCGGCGGGCTGAGATCCGCAGCTCCTGGCACGAAAAGACGAGGCGACCAGCAGGGGGGAGTCAAGTATGGTACCCTAGATCGGCGGCGATGGCAGGACCGGCATCGAGTACTTTGACCTTTTCGAGCCGGACCCCACCCCCATGGAGGATCTCTGAGGTCCTCCCCAGTCTCACCCCACCTTACCTCTGCCCCCCCCTCTCCCCCCATCCCTCTGCCTCCGATAGGGCAGGATAGCACTAGCATATGCGCCTAGTGCGCGCACTGGGCCCACATAGGTGTGACCCGCCCACTGCACTCGAGTGCGGCGCCCGGATGCTAGTGCTTGAGAAGACACCACAAACGCGGCACGGCCCGTTTTGGATGTCTGCGGAGATTCTGTCTTAGCACACACAGTGAGTCATTCGGAGTCATTCGATGGCCAGAGTGCGATTGTGTGTGTGCGGGAGTTGGTTTGTCGGGAGGGAGGGGCAGGCTGCTCACCCACGTGCACCGGGCCAGTGCTTGCACTTTTATATATGAATGCCGTGGGGCTCCTGCCCGTGTCCGGGTGTGGAGATGCGAGGGGGTCGCCCCCCCCCTTGCCCCACCACTTTGTGTGTGTGGAGAAATTTACCTTACCTTACCTTACCTGTGAGGCCCCAGCGGCAGCGCCCCCACACGCGCAGGGACGCGCGGCGACACGCCAGCCCGCTACCTCTATACCTGCGCACCCGGCCCTCCGGGCCACAGAGTAGTGACTTGTACTCGTCGAAAAGTAAACAAATCGCGCGTTTCGGGTTTCGCCACACTCTACACGGCGAAAGTAGCTCGACGTTGCGCGGCTAGATTGCCCGGGTATCTCCGCGCATAAGTTCCGCATACGAGAGGCTGCAATCGCCACAACCAGTGTTCGCGCGCAATGGTTGTGGCGAGATCGCGAGGAACGAGCCAGTGGCGTGCATGGCAAGCCATGCAAAGGGTACCAGATCCCCGGGCCCGAAGTAAAGTTGGTGTACACGGCGCTCGAGCGACGGCGGAGCGCAGCCACGCGACTCAACCAGCGTCAGCCTCTCGGCGACAATATCCCGCTCTTCCGCCGGACCAGCAATCGCGATAGGCGACTTCGACGCGACCCGAGCGAGCGGCCGGGCCCAAAGTTCAGCGAGGGTGGTCCTGGCGGTCCGTCTCTCTCGGTGAAGCCCTCGATGTCGCAGTCAGCATTCTGGTTACACCTCGGGGTGGGCACGCGGGCGATCGCAAAGTGGCGGCCGCTCCTCGGAGAGCTCTCAGGCCCGTCGAGCGACGAGGATGCCGCCGGCGAAAGCTCCAACCCCGTTGTGGTTTCGTCTGCAGGATTGCTCGGAGAGGCGATGCTTCGCGCCTCGGCAGCATAGGCAGCAACCGCGCTGTACGCATCTCCCTCCGGCTTTGGCACCAATGCCAGCGGCAGCGGAGTCGGCGTCGCCGGGGCTGCGGCGCTCAGACCGATGGCTGCCGGCGGCGACTCAGGCGGCAGCGGCTCAGGTGGCACCTCGGGCGCCTCTGACGCGTCTGACGCGTCCGCCGCATCCGCCGCATCAGCTGTAGGCGCGGCATATGCGTCTGCTGCGTCCGCTGCAGGACTTCGCTCGGCTGGCCGGGGCACCGGCCCGACGGAGGCGCCGCTCTTGAGCTGGCGCTCCGCGGACTTTAGCTGCATGCGTAGCGACGCGTTGACCTTCATCATGCAGAAGCAGCGCATCTCAGTCGTTCTTCACACGGCAATCGCAGAGCAGATTGTGAATGAGCTTGCCTGTGGCGGGGGTGGGCGGGTGCACGGAGCTAAGTGCCTCGCCACCCTCGCAGGAGTCGCTTAGGCGGCTCCCGTGGTGTACCTGTGTTAGTGCCAGTGCGAGCCAGTCCCGTGCCCAGTCCTGTGCCCAGTGTCGTGCGAGGGAGTTTTGTTGTAAAACCCTAACTAACTAACCAAAAAAGCACGGTAGCTCTTTGTGTTGCGATGCTTCCTGGCGAGAGAGTGCTGGGCTTTCCGGCCCACACTCGGCTCTTGAGGCATTTATCGGCATTAATATGCCGTAGGGACACACAGCAAGGAGAGTAGTGTCTACGCGCGCACACGCCCGAGTGCCAATTTGGCTACGGGTTAGGGTTGCGTTGTCCTAACGCCTCCGTCCGTCCTGGACGGGCGTTGGCGCGTGCATATCCCACCGCTAAGCTAGCGACACTACTGCTAATGCTGGCCTCGTCCCCTCAAGTTGAGCAGCTTGGCCTTGCCATACGGTTCGACTGCTCAGACACTGGAGGAGATAAGGGGATGGTGGTGGGTAGAAGAATGCGGAACGAGCAGCCAGAAGCAGTCGCGCGAGTCAGAGTCGGGCACGAGACGTCGAGCATCGAAACCGTCCGTTTCGTGCGCCCGTCCCCAATACAGGATTCCCCTGTCAGGGTGTGAACATCGTGCACTCGATGGTTTTCCCCGGCCCATGCCGGGTACTCTCCAGTCGAATCTGACGTTTGGCTACACTAGTAGAGCCGTGGGCTCATTTCACGTAGCTCTTTGTGTTGCGATGCTTCCTGGCGAGAGAGTGCTGGGCTTTCCGGCCCACACTCGGCTCTTGAGGCATTTATCGGCATTAATATGCCGTAGGGACACACAGCAAGGAGAGTAGTGTCTACGCGCGCACACGCCCGAGTGCCAATTTGGCTACGGGTTAGGGTTGCGTTGTCCTAACGCCTCCGTCCGTCCTGGACGGGCGTTGGCGCGTGCATATCCCTTCCGGTGCTTGCGTGACGCCCAGCGACTACCGCGCTCCGGCATCCTTGCGTGTCCCTACTGGGTGGGTGGGTCGTGGCCCGCGCGCCATCGCGCGGGATTATTGCGCCCCTCGCTCCCTCGAGCGGGCGCCCCCCCTTTTCCCATTACGGGCCCGTCGCGCTCCGCGCACCAGGACAGGCCCATATTCCACGCCCCTCGGCGTTACGCCATCTCATGGCCTTACTGGTAGTACGTAGCTCTCCCTCGAGCTACACTACCTCGTGCTCCGCACGACCTCGCGCTCCGCACGAGTCACCACACCACGCCCGCCTCTCCGGACGGCACATGCCCTTGCGGGTGTGGAGTGCATACCCCGTGCACTGTCCGCCCTTCCGCGTCGTGCCGCCAGTGGCCCGTGTCGCGGAATGAAGGAGATGGACTAGAGGTGGGCGCTCCGGCCGTCCCTCCTGGCCAGCGCCACCATGGCGCTGGCACCCAGCCGTCGGCCCCTGAGGGCGTCAGGCTACGACTAGCCTCTCCGGGCTCTCTGTCTGTCGCCCACCCTTCCGCGCCGAGGCACGTACTCGTGTGACGAGACCGTGCGACGCCGGCTCCATGCCTAACGCCGCACTGGAGTTGGGCGCTCCGGCCGTCCCTCCAGGCCAGCGTCACCGCTGGCCCCCGGCCGTCGGCCCCTCGTGCGGGCGTCGGGCTACAACTCGCCTCTCCGGGCTGCTGTCTGTCGCCCACCCTTCCGCGCCGAGGCACGTACTCGTGTGACGAGACCGTGCGACGCCGGCTCCATGCCTAACGCCGCACTGGAGTTGGGCGCTCCGGCCGTCCCTCCAGGCCAGCGTCACCGCTGGCCCCCGGCCGTCGGCCCCTCGTGCGGGCGTCGGGCTACAACTAGCCTCTCCGGGCTGCTGTCTGTCGCCCACCCTTCCGCGCCGAGGCACGTACTCGTGTGACGAGACCGTGCGACGCCGGCTCCATGCCTAACGCCGCACTGGAGTTGGGCGCTCCGGCCGTCCCTCCAGGCCAGCGTCACCGCTGGCCCCCGGCCGTCGGCCCCTCGTGAGGGCGTCGGGCTACAACTCGCCTCTCCGGGCTGCTGTCTGTCGCCCACCCTTCCGCGCCGAGGCACGTACTCGTGTGACAAGACCGTGCGACGCCGGCTCCATGCCTAACGCCGCACTGGAGTTGGGCGCTCCGGCCGTCCCTCCAGGCCAGCGTCACCGCTGGCCCCCGGCCGTCGGCCCCTCGTGCGGGCGTCGGGCTACAGCTGACCTCTCCGGGCTCGCTGTCTGTCGCCCACCCTTCCGCGCCGAGGCACGTACTCGTGTAGCGAGACCGTGCAACGCCGGCTTCAAGCCCACAGCGCCGCACTGGGAGTTGGGCGCTCCGCGCCATCCCTCCCGCCAGCGATCCGTTACGCTGGCAACCGTCTGCTTTCCGAAAGAGGCAGCGTTGCTGCTTTCCGAAAGAGGCAGCGGTGCTGGCTTTCCGAAAGAGGCAGCGGTGCTGCTTTCCGAAAGAGGCCCGATCGAGGTAGGCGCCATGCCATGCCTCCAGTCCTAGTGTGACGCCATCTGGGGATCCCCGAGATCGCAATCTCTGTCCAACATCTCGCCCGAGATCGCCCGAGATCGCCGAGATCGCGATCTCGCCCAGATGATGGAGAGTAGGCGGCGGCGGCGCTGCCATCGCGCCCCACGCCTCGCCAAAGCCTCGACGGCGTGATGATCGACATCAGCTCACGCAGACCACATCGAGTCCATGTCCGACATCTCGCTCCAGATCGCCCGAGATCGCCGAGATCGCGATCTCGTCTCGAGATGAAGGATGATTAGGCGGCGGCGGCGCTGCCATCGCGCCCCGCGCCTCGCCAAAGCCTCGACGGCGTGATGATCGACATCAGCTCACGCAGACCACGTCGAGTCCATGTCCGACATCTCGCTCGAGCTCGCCCGAGCTCGCCCGAGATCGCGATCTCGTCACCAGATGAAGGATGATTAGGCGGCGGCGGCGCTGCCAGCGCGCCCCACGCCTCGCCAAAACCTCGACGGCGTGATGATCGACATCAGCTCACGCAGACCACGTCGAGTCCATGTCCGACATCTCGCTCGAGCTCGCCCGAGCTCGCCCGAGATCGCGATCTCGTCACGAGATGAAGGAGAGTAGGCGGCGGCGGCGCTGCCAGCGCGCCCCACGCCTCGCCAAAGCCTCGACGGCGTGATGATCGACATCAGCTCACGCAGACCACGTCGAGTCCATGTCCAACCTCTCGCTCAAGATCACCCGAGATCACCGAGCTCGCGATCTCGTCACCAGATGAAGGAGAGTAGGCGGCGGCGGCGCTGCCAGCGCGCCCCGCGCCTCGCCAAAGTCTCGACGGCGTGATGATCGACATCAGCTCACGCAGACCACGTCGAGTCCATGTCCGACATCTCGCTCGAGCTCGCCCGAGCTCGCCCGAGATCGCGATCTCGTCACGAGATGAAGGAGAGTAGGCGGCGGCGGCGCTTCCAGCGCGCCCCACGCCTCGCCAAAGCCTCGACGGCGTGATGATCGACATCAGCTCACGCAGACCACGTCGAGTCCATGTCCGACATCTCGCTCGAGCTCGCCCGAGCTCGCCCGAGATCGCGATCTCGTCACGAGATGAAGGAGAGTAGGCGGCGGCGGCGCTGCCAGCGCGCCCCACGCCTCGCCAAAGCCTCGACGGCGTGATGATCGACATCAGCTCACGCAGACCACGTCGAGTCCATGTCCAACATCTCGCTCGAGATCACCCGAGATCACCGAGATCGCGATCTCGTCACGAGATGAAGGAGAGTAGGCGGCGGCGGCGCTGCCATCGCGCCCCACGCCTCGCCAAAGCCTCGACGGCGTGATGATCGACATCAGCTCACGCAGACCACGTCGAGCCCATGTCCGACATCTCGCTCGAGATCACCCGAGATCACCGAGCTCGCGATCTCGTCACGAGATGAAGGAGAGTAGGCGGCGGCGGCGCTGCCAGCGCGCCCCGCGCCTCGCCAAAGCATCAACGGCGTGATGATCGACATCAGCTCACGCAGACCACGTCGAGCCCATGTCCGACATCTCGCTCGAGATCGCCCGAGATCGCCGAGATCGCGATCTCGTCTCGAGATGAAGGAGAGTAGGCGGCGGCGGCGCTGCCATCGCGCCCCGCGCCTCGCCAAAGTCTCGACGGCGTGATGATCGACATCAGCTCACGCAGACCACGTCGAGTCCATGTCCAACCTCTCGCTCGAGATCACCCGAGATCACCGAGCTCGCGATCTCGTCACGAGATGAAGGAGAGTAGGCGGCGGCGGCGCTGCCAGCGCGCCCCGCGCCTCGCCAAAGCATCAACGGCGTGATGATCGACATCAGCTCACGCAGACCACGTCGAGTCCATGTCCGACATCTCGCTCGAGATCACCCGAGATCACAGAGCTCGCAATCTGGTCACGAGTTGAAGGAGAGCAGGCGGCGGCGGCGCTGCCATCGCGCCCCGCGCCTCGCCAAAGCCTCGACGGCGTGATGATCGACATCAGCTCACGCAGACCACGTCGAGTCCATGTCCGACATCTCGCTCGAGCTCGCCCGAGCTCGCCCGAGATCGCGATCTCGTCACCAGATGAAGGAGAGTAGGCGGCGGCGGCGCTGCCAGCGCGCCCCGCGCCTCGCCAAAGTCTCGACGGCGTGATGATCGACATCAGCTCACGCAGACCACGTCGAGTCCATGTCCGACATCTCGCTCGAGCTCGCCCGAGCTCGCCCGAGATCGCGATCTCGTCACGAGATGAAGGAGAGTAGGCGGCGGCGGCGCTTCCAGCGCGCCCCACGCCTCGCCAAAGCCTCGACGGCGTGATGATCGACATCAGCTCACGCAGACCACGTCGAGTCCATGTCCGACATCTCGCTCGAGCTCGCCCGAGCTCGCCCGAGATCGCGATCTCGTCACGAGATGAAGGAGAGTAGGCGGCGGCGGCGCTGCCAGCGCGCCCCGCGCCTCGCCAAAGTCTCGACGGCGTGATGATCGACATCAGCTCACGCAGACCACGTCGAGCCCATGTCCGACATCTCGCTCGAGATCACCCGAGATCACCGAGCTCGCGATCTCGTCACGAGATGAAGGAGAGTAGGCGGCGGCGGCGCTGCCATCGCGCCCCGCGCCTCGCCAAAGTCTCCACGGCGTGATGATCGACATCAGCTCACGCAGACCACGTCGAGTTCATGTCCAACCTCTCGCTCGAGATCACCCGAGATCACCGAGCTCGCGATCTCGTCTCGAGATGAAGGATGATTAGGCGGCGGCGGCGCTGCCATCGCGCCCCACGCCTCGCCAAAACCTCGACGGCGTGATGATCGACATCAGCTCACGCAGACCACGTCGAGTCCATGTCCAACCTCTCGCTCGAGATCACCCGAGATCACCGAGCTCGCGATCTCGTCACGAGATGAAGGAGAGTAGGCGGCGGCGGCGCTGCCAGCGCGCCCCGCGCCTCGCCAAAGCATCAACGGCGTGATGATCGACATCAGCTCACGCAGACCACATCGAGTCCATGTCCGACATCTCGCTCGAGATCGCCCGAGATCGCCGAGATCGCGATCTCGTCACGAGATGAAGGAGAGTAGGCGGCGGCGGCGCTGCCAGCGCGCCCCACGCCTCGCCAAAACCTCGACGGCGTGATGATCGACATCAGCTCACGCAGACCACATCGAGTCCATGTCCGACATCTCGCTCGAGCTCGCCCGAGCTCGCCCGAGATCGCGATCTCGTCACCAGATGAAGGAGAGTAGGCGGCGGCGGCGCTGCCAGCGCGCCCCGCGCCTCGCCAAAGTCTCGACGGCGTGATGATCGACATCAGCTCACGCAGACCACGTCGAGTCCATGTCCGACATCTCGCTCGAGATCACCCGAGATCACCGAGCTCGCGATCTCGTCACGAGATGAAGGAGAGTAGGCGGCGGCGGCGCTGCCAGCGCGCCCCACGCCTCGCCAAAGTCTCGACGGCGTGATGATCGACATCAGCTCACGCAGACCACGTCGAGTCCATGTCCAACCTCTCGCTCGAGATCACCCGAGATCACCGAGCTCGCGATCTCGTCACGAGATGAAGGAGAGTAGGCGGCGGCGGCGCTGCCAGCGCGCCCCACGCCTCGCCAAAGCCTCGACGGCGTGATGATCGACATCAGCTCACGCAGACCACGTCGAGTCCATGTCCAACCTCTCGCTCGAGATCACCCGAGCTCGCCCGAGATCGCGATCTCGCCTCGAGATGAAGGATGATTAGGCGGCGGCGGCGCTGCCAGCGCGCCCCACGCCTCGCCAAAGCCTCGACGGCGTGATGATCGACATCAGCTCACGCAGACCACGTCGAGTCCATGTCCAACCTCTCGCTCAAGATCACCCGAGATCACCGAGCTCGCGATCTCGTCACGAGATGAAGGAGAGTAGGCGGCGGCGGCGCTGCCAGCGCGCCCCACGCCTCGCCAAAGCATCAACAGCGTGATGATCGACATCAGCTCACGCAGACCACATCGAGTCCATGTCCGACATCTCGCTCGAGATCGCCCGAGATCGCCGAGATCGCGATCTCGTCTCGAGATGAAGGATGATTAGGCGGCGGCGGCGCTGCCATCGCGCCCCACGCCTCGCCAAAACCTCGACGGCGTGATGATCGACATCAGCTCACGCAGACCACGTCGAGTCCATGTCCAACCTCTCGCTCGAGATCACCCGAGATCACCGAGCTCGCGATCTCGTCACGAGATGAAGGAGAGTAGGCGGCGGCGGCGCTGCCAGCGCGCCCCGCGCCTCGCCAAAGTCTCGACGGCGTGATGATCGACATCAGCTCACGCAGACCACGTCGAGCCCATGTCCAACCTCTCGCTCGAGATCACCCGAGATCACCGAGCTCGCGATCTCGTCACGAGATGAAGGAGAGTAGGCGGCGGCAGCGCTGCCATCGCGCCCCACGCCTCGCCAAAACCTCGACGGCGTGATGATCGACATCAGCTCACGCAGACCACGTCGAGTCCATGTCCAACCTCTCGCTCGAGATCGCCCGAGATCACCGAGCTCGCGATCTCGTCACGAGATGAAAGAGAGTAGGCGGCGGCAGCGCTGCCATCGCGCCCCGCGCCTCGCCAAAGTCTCGACGGCGTGATGATCGACATCAGCTCACGCAGACCACGTCGAGTCCATGTCCAACATCTCGCTCGAGATCACCCGAGATCACCGAGCTCGCGATCTCGTTTCGAGATGAAGGATGATTAGGCGGCGGCAGCGCTGCCATCGCGCCCCGCGCCTCGCCAAAGTCTCGACGGCGTGATGATCGACATCAGCTCACGCAGACCACATCGAGTCCATGTCCGACATCTCGCTCGAGATCGCCCGAGATCGCCGAGATCGCGATCTCGTCACGAGATGAAGGAGAGTAGGCGGCGGCGGCGCTGCCAGCGCGCCCCACGCCTCGCCAAAGCCTCGACGGCGTGATGATCGACATCAGCTCACGCAGACCACATCGAGTCCATGTCCGACATCTCGCTCGAGATCGCCCGAGATCGCCGAGATCGCGATCTCGTCTCGAGATGAAGGAGAGTAGGCGGCGGCGGCGCTGCCATCGCGCCCCACGCCTCGCCAAAGTCTCGACGGCGTGATGATCGACATCAGCTCACGCAGACCACGTCGAGCCCATGTCCGACATCTCGCTCGAGATCACCCGAGATCACCGAGCTCGCGATCTCGTCACGAGATGAAGGAGAGTAGGCGGCGGCGGCGCTGCCATCGCGCCCCACGCCTCGCCAAAGTCTCGACGGCGTGATGATCGACATCAGCTCACGCAGACCACGTCGAGCCCATGTCCGACATCTCGCTCGAGATCACCCGAGATCACCGAGCTCGCGATCTCGTCACGAGATGAAGGAGAGTAGGCGGCGGCGGCGCTGCCAGCGCGCCCCACGCCTCGCCAAAACCTCGACGGCGTGATGATCGACATCAGCTCACGCAGACCACATCGAGTCCATGTCCGACATCTCGCTCGAGCTCGCCCGAGCTCGCCCGAGATCGCGATCTCGTCTCGAGATGAAGGAGAGTAGGCGGCGGCGGCGCTGCCATCGCGCCCCGCGCCTCGCCAAAGTCTCGACGGCGTGATGATCGACATCAGCTCACGCAGACCACGTCGAGTCCATGTCCAACCTCTCGCTCGAGATCACCCGAGATCACCGAGCTCGCGATCTCGTCACGAGATGAAGGAGAGTAGGCGGCGGCGGCGCTGCCATCGCGCCCCGCGCCTCGCCAAAGTCTCCACGGCGTGATGATCGACATCAGCTCACGCAGACCACGTCGAGTTCATGTCCAACCTCTCGCTCAAGATCACCCGAGATCACCGAGCTCGCGATCTCGTCACGAGATGAAGGAGAGTAGGCGGCGGCGGCGCTGCCAGCGCGCCCCACGCCTCGCCAAAGCATCAACAGCGTGATGATCGACATCAGCTCACGCAGACCACATCGAGTCCATGTCCGACATCTCGCTCGAGATCGCCCGAGATCGCCGAGATCGCGATCTCGTCTCGAGATGAAGGATGATTAGGCGGCGGCGGCGCTGCCATCGCGCCCCACGCCTCGCCAAAACCTCGACGGCGTGATGATCGACATCAGCTCACGCAGACCACGTCGAGTCCATGTCCAACCTCTCGCTCGAGATCACCCGAGATCACCGAGCTCGCGATCTCGTCACGAGATGAAGGAGAGTAGGCGGCGGCGGCGCTGCCAGCGCGCCCCGCGCCTCGCCAAAGTCTCGACGGCGTGATGATCGACATCAGCTCACGCAGACCACGTCGAGCCCATGTCCAACCTCTCGCTCGAGATCACCCGAGATCACCGAGCTCGCGATCTCGTCACGAGATGAAGGAGAGTAGGCGGCGGCGGCGCTGCCATCGCGCCCCACGCCTCGCCAAAGTCTCGACGGCGTGATGATCGACATCAGCTCACGCAGACCACGTCGAGTCCATGTCCGACATCTCGCTCGAGCTCGCCCGAGCTCGCCCGAGATCGCGATCTCGTCACGAGATGAAGGAGAGTAGGCGGCGGCGGCGCTGCCAGCGCGCCCCGCGCCTCGCCAAAGTCTCGACGGCGTGATGATCGACATCAGCTCACGCAGACCACGTCGAGCCCATGTCCGACATCTCGCTCGAGATCACCCGAGATCACCGAGCTCGCGATCTCGTCACGAGATGAAGGAGAGTAGGCGGCGGCGGCGCTGCCAGCGCGCCCCGCGCCTCGCCAAAGTCTCCACGGCGTGATGATCGACATCAGCTCACGCAGACCACGTCGAGTCCATGTCCAACCTCTCGCTCGAGATCACCCGAGATCACCGAGCTCGCGATCTCGTCACGAGATGAAGGAGAGTAGGCGGCGGCGGCGCTGCCAGCGCGCCCCACGCCTCGCCAAAGTCTCGACGGCGTGATGATCGACATCAGCTCACGCAGACCACGTCGAGTCCATGTCCGACATCTCGCTCGAGATCACCCGAGATCACCGAGCTCGCGATCTCGTCACGAGATGAAGGAGAGTAGGCGGCGGCGGCGCTGCCATCGCGCCCCGCGCCTCGCCAAAGTCTCCACGGCGTGATGATCGACATCAGCTCACGCAGACCACGTCGAGTTCATGTCCAACCTCTCGCTCGAGATCACCCGAGATCACCGAGCTCGCGATCTCGTCTCGAGATGAAGGATGATTAGGCGGCGGCGGCGCTGCCATCGCGCCCCACGCCTCGCCAAAACCTCGACGGCGTGATGATCGACATCAGCTCACGCAGACCACGTCGAGTCCATGTCCAACCTCTCGCTCGAGATCACCCGAGATCACCGAGCTCGCGATCTCGTCACGAGATGAAGGAGAGTAGGCGGCGGCGGCGCTGCCAGCGCGCCCCGCGCCTCGCCAAAGCATCAACGGCGTGATGATCGACATCAGCTCACGCAGACCACATCGAGTCCATGTCCGACATCTCGCTCGAGATCGCCCGAGATCGCCGAGATCGCGATCTCGTCTCGAGATGAAGGATGATTAGGCGGCGGCGGCGCTGCCATCGCGCCCCACGCCTCGCCAAAACCTCGACGGCGTGATGATCGACATCAGCTCACGCAGACCACGTCGAGTCCATGTCCAACCTCTCGCTCGAGATCACCCGAGATCACCGAGCTCGCGATCTCGTCACGAGATGAAGGAGAGTAGGCGGCGGCGGCGCTGCCAGCGCGCCCCGCGCCTCGCCAAAGCATCAACGGCGTGATGATCGACATCAGCTCACGCAGACCACGTCGAGTCCATGTCCGACATCTCGCTCGAGATCACCCGAGATCACAGAGCTCGCAATCTGGTCACGAGTTGAAGGAGAGCAGGCGGCGGCGGCGCTGCCATCGCGCCCCGCGCCTCGCCAAAGTCTCGACGGCGTGATGATCGACATCAGCTCACGCAGACCACGTCGAGTCCATGTCCAACATCTCGCTCGAGATCACCCGAGATCGCCGAGCTCGCGATCTCGCCTCGAGATGAAGGAGAGTAGGCGGCGGCGGCGCTGCCAGCGCGCCCCACGCCTCGCCAAAGTCTCCACGGCGTGATGATCGACATCAGCTCACGCAGACCACGTCGAGTCCATGTCCAACCTCTCGCTCGAGATCACCCGAGATCACCGAGCTCGCGATCTCGTCACGAGATGAAGGAGAGTAGGCGGCGGCGGCGCTGCCAGCGCGCCCCACGCCTCGCCAAAACCTCGACGGCGTGATGATCGACATCAGCTCACGCAGACCACGTCGAGTCCATGTCCGACATCTCGCTCGAGATCACCCGAGATCACCGAGCTCGCGATCTCGTCACGAGATGAAGGAGAGTAGGCGGCGGCGGCGCTGCCATCGCGCCCCGCGCCTCGCCAAAGTCTCCACGGCGTGATGATCGACATCAGCTCACGCAGACCACGTCGAGTTCATGTCCAACCTCTCGCTCGAGATCACCCGAGATCACCGAGCTCGCGATCTCGTCTCGAGATGAAGGATGATTAGGCGGCGGCGGCGCTGCCATCGCGCCCCACGCCTCGCCAAAACCTCGACGGCGTGATGATCGACATCAGCTCACGCAGACCACGTCGAGTCCATGTCCAACCTCTCGCTCGAGATCGCCCGAGATCGCCGAGATCGCGATCTCGTCACGAGATGAAGGATGATTAGGCGGCGGCGGCGCTGCCAGCGCGCCCCGCGCCTCGCCAAAGCATCAACGGCGTGATGATCGACATCAGCTCACGCAGACCACATCGAGTCCATGTCCGACATCTCGCTCGAGATCGCCCGAGATCGCCGAGATCGCGATCTCGTCTCGAGATGAAGGATGATTAGGCGGCGGCGGCGCTGCCATCGCGCCCCACGCCTCGCCAAAACCTCGACGGCGTGATGATCGACATCAGCTCACGCAGACCACGTCGAGTCCATGTCCAACCTCTCGCTCGAGATCACCCGAGATCACCGAGCTCGCGATCTCGTCACGAGATGAAGGATAGTAGGCGGCGGCGGCGCTGCCAGCGCGCCCCGCGCCTCGCCAAAGCATCAACGGCGTGATGATCGACATCAGCTCACGCAGACCACGTCGAGTCCATGTCCGACATCTCGCTCGAGATCACCCGAGATCACCGAGCTCGCGATCTCGTCACGAGATGAAGGAGAGTAGGCGGCGGCGGCGCTGCCATCGCGCCCCACGCCTCGCCAAAGTCTCGACGGCGTGATGATCGACATCAGCTCACGCAGACCACGTCGAGCCCATGTCCGACATCTCGCTCGAGATCACCCGAGATCACCGAGCTCGCGATCTCGTCACCAGATGAAGGAGAGTAGGCGGCGGCGGCGCTGCCAGCGCGCCCCGCGCCTCGCCAAAGTCTCGACGGCGTGATGATCGACATCAGCTCACGCAGACCACGTCGAGTCCATGTCCGACATCTCGCTCGAGATCACCCGAGATCACCGAGATCGCGATCTCGTCACGAGATGAAGGATGATTAGGCGGCGGCGGCGCTGCCAGCGCGCCCCACGCCTCGCCAAAGTCTCGACGGCGTGATGATCGACATCAGCTCACGCAGACCACGTCGAGTCCATGTCCAACCTCTCGCTCGAGATCACCCGAGATCACCGAGCTCGCGATCTCGTCACGAGATGAAGGATAGTAGGCGGCGGCGGCGCTGCCATCGCGCCCCATGCCTCGCCAACGCCTCGACGGCGTGATGATCGACATCAGCTCACGCAGACCACGTCGAGTCCATGTCCGACATCTCGCTCGAGCTCGCCCGAGCTCGCCCGAGCTCGCGATCCCGCCTCGAGATGAAGGAGAGCAGGCGGCGGCGGCGCTGCCAGCGCACCACACGCCTCGCCAACGCCACGACGGCGTGATGATCGAGATTGAACCGCGCCCCAACACGGTCCAGCTCGCGCCCGCTATCGAGGCTCGCGGTCGAGCTCGCAGCTGTGCAGGCCTGTTCCCTCTGCGGCCTCAGTGGCCTGCGCAGCGCGCTGCTGATGGCGGAATAAGAGCGACCTCGTTCACGACGTGCCGTGCGCCTCGTCAGAGCCACGACGGCGTGACGCCGTAGAGCCGAGCACGTCGAGTCCGTACGCAGCATCTCACCAGCTCCTGTTCAGTCAGCGGCTTGTGCGGCGCTTGGCTCCGTGACCTGAGGCAAACCCCTTGCTGCACCAGTGCCAGCTCCGACAGGTGCAAGACAGCGCCGCTGTCTGATGCTGCCACTCACCGCCTCTAGCATCCCCGTCACTCCCTGTGCACTTCGCCCATGCCTGACGGGAGCTCCTCATGCCCTCTCCCCATGCCTGACGGGAGCTCCTGCATGCCCTCTCCCCCGACGAGGCGCCTCAGTCCGCGTACTCCGCGTCCGTTGCGAGGTGACGGACGGCGCGACCACCTCCGCACGCACGTCTACACCGCCTTCTTGATTCCATCCACCAGCGGAAAATCAAGCGATGTGATCCCAGAAGGCTTGCGTGATGCGTCGTCATGACGGGTGTCACTGCCGCGGCGCCGCGCCGCGTGCCGCGTCGTCAGTACTGAAGCAGTCGCGCGAGTCAGAGTCGGGCACGAGACGTCGAGCATCGAAACCGTCCGTTTCGTGCGCCCGTCCCCAATACAGGATTCCCCTGTCAGGGTGTGAACATCGTGCACTCGATGGTTTTCCCCGGCCCATGCCGGGTACTCTCCAGTCGAATCTGACGTTTGGCTACACTAGTAGAGCCGTGGGCTCATTTCACATTTTGAAGTCGGGCCCTCAGGAGGACCGCTCGGGTTCGACACCAACCCGGGGCTGCTCCGCGCCATGTGCATGGCGTTCGAGTGAACGCCGTGCAGGCAGCCCGTGGTATGATGCACATACTCGCCACCGCGCTCTCTGGCACCACTCGGCCCTCGAACCGGGTCGGTGGCTCGCCGCTCATCCCCCTCTCAGACCCGCGCAACGCTCAACGAGCCGGCCCGGAGCAGATCCACCTCACCGGCGCGAGCGTCGACAGCATCCACGTGACTTGGTCCGACAACGACACCTCCACCGCTCCGTCCGTGGTCGAGGTTCGAGCGGTCTCTGATGCCGCTTCGTGGACGGCGGTGCCGGGTCCGAGTGGGTCCGTGTACTCGGCATTGCAGGCAGCGGACGCTTGCCCCGGAGGCTACACCGACCCGTCCTGCATCTACACGTCGAGCGTGCTGCACTCGGTCCAGCTCACGCAGCTCGAGCCAGCGACCGAGTACGAGTACCGCGTCCGCAGCGCAGCAGGAAAGGTCCAGGAGAGGTCCTCGCGGTCGCTCCGCTTCACCACGCCGCCGGCTCGCTGGCTGTCTTGCGGCAGTGTGTGGTGCCGTGAGGGGCGCCGCCCCCAAAACTACGACCGTCATAACGTAGGCCGCGGGCTCGCCCGCCGTCCGGTTTGGCGTTGTCGCCGACCTGGGGCAGACAACCAACTCGAGCGCGACGGTGGCCGGGCTGCAGCAGGTGGCGGAGATATGGGGAGATATGGGGAGATATGGGGGCCGGGCTGCAGCAGGTGGCGGGGAACCAGGGGCGGCGTGAACCTCCCGCCGCGCAGTCGCGTGAGCCGAGCCCGTTTCGCAGGCGGCTGAGGACGGCTCGATCGACGCCATCCTACTGGGCGGAGACCTCTCGTACGCTGACGGCGAGATGATCGACATCAGCTCACGCAGACCACGTCGAGTCCATGTCCGACATCTCGCTCGAGATCGCCCGAGATCACCGAGCTCGCGATCTCGTCACGAGATGAAGGAGAGTAGGCGGCGGCGGCGCTGCCAGCGCGCCCCACGCCTCGCCAAAGTCTCGACGGCGTGATGATCGACATCAGCTCACGCAGACCACGTCGAGTCCATGTCCGACATCTCGCTCGAGCTCGCCCGAGCTCGCCCGAGCTCGCGATCTCGTCACGAGATGAAGGAGAGTAGGCGGCGGCGGCGCTGCCAGCGCGCCCCACGCCTCGCCAAAGTCTCGACGGCGTGATGATCGACATCAGCTCACGCAGACCACGTCGAGTCCCATGTCCGACATCTCGCTCGAGCTCGCCCGAGCTCGCCCGAGATCGCGATCTCGTCACGAGATGAAGGAGAGTAGGCGGCGGCGGCGCTGCCAGCGCGCCCCGCGCCTCGCCAAAGTCTCGACGGCGTGATGATCGACATCTGCTCACGCTTACCACGTCGAGCCCATGTCCCGACATCTCGCTCGAGATCACCCGAGATTACCGAGTTCGCGACTCGTCACGATATGAAGGATAGTAGGCGGCGGTGGCGCTTGCAGCTGCGCCCGCGTCTTCGCCCAAATTCTC